CCCCCCCCCCCCCACTCTCTGGTTGCTGGCCTCTGAAACGGAACAGACTTCCCTTTCCACCAACCTTGCCTCTGTACTGGCCTCAAAACCACAGGCAGACGGACTCCCGCGTTCCGTGACGCGGTTGTGGGTGCCCGGCGTGAGGCTGCTGCACTCTCGCGATACCTGGCTCCTGACTCCCCCACCCCACCCCCACAGCAGAGCCGCGGCCGTTAACCCGCTGGCCGGGGTGCTGTGAGGGTCCCCACGCCGCTGGCTCGCTCGCCCTGAGCGGAGGGCTGGGGGGCATGTTCCGAGCAGCTGCCTCAACCGCTTGTCTCAGGGATCATCCCCGTTTCTCCCCTGCGTGGCGTTGGCTGCCCGCTGACGCTTTTCCTTGGTGGAATGGAGACCTGCCTTTGGACGAGCTGAGGAGACCGAGACCCAGTAAGTCCTCCGGTGTGCACGCTGGCAAACTTCTCTTTGGGGCACAGGGTGCTGTTTGGGCGTTTTTGTTTGTTGGTTCTGATGTGTCTCTGACTTCGAGGACCATTTGTGTTGGGACACGTTGGCTTAGAACCGTCAGTCACCCTCTTGGGGGATTTATGGCAGTTTTGCCTTCTGTGAGCGTCTATTCCATTTGTAGGGTTGGTAACTTTGTTGTCTTTTGTAAAATGGGAAATTCAGGTTCAGTTCATTAGAAAAATTTTAGTTATGCAAGTTGTTGTTGTTCAGTCACTAAGTTGTGTCTGACTCTTTGTGACCCCATGGACTGCTGCCCACCAGGTTTCCCTGTCCTTCACCAACTGCCAGAGTTTGCTCAAACCCATGTCCATTGAGTTGTTGATGCCATCCAGCCACATCATCCCCTGTTGTCCCCTTCTCCTCCCGCCTTCAATCTTTCCCAGCATCAGGGTCTTCTCTAATGAGTCAGCTCTTTGCATCAGGTGGCCAAAGTATTGGAGCTTCAGCTTCAGTAACAGTCCTTCCAATGAATATTCAGGACTGGATTTCCTTTAGGATTGACTGATTTCATTCCCTTGTGGTCCAACAGACTCTCAGGAGTCTTCTCCAACACCACAGTTAGAGAAGTATAAATTCTTCAGCGCTCAGCCTTCTTTATAGTCCAACTCTCACATCCAGACATGACTACTGGAAAAACTACAGCTTTGACTAGACGGATCTTTGTTGCCAAAGTGATGTGTCTGCTTTTCAATATGCTGCCTAGGTTTGTCATAGTTTTTCTTCCAAGAAGCTAGCCTCTTTTAATTTCATGGCCAGTCACCATCCGCAGTGATTTTGAAGCCCAGGAAAATAATATGTCACTGTTACCACTTTTTCCCTTCTATTTGCCATAATGTGATGGGACCAGATGCCATGAGGTTGTGACTGTTTCTTTCAGCAGTCTTGATTCAGCTTGTGACTCATCCAGCCTGGTACGATGTGCTCTGCATATAAGTTAAATGAGCAGGATGACAATATATAGCCTTGATGTACTTCTTTTCCCAATTTTGAACCAATCAATTTTTCCATGTCCCGTTCCAACTGTTGCTTCTTGTCCTGCATACAGCCATCTCAGAAATAGGTAAAGTGGTCTGGTAAGACTTTTCCACAGATTGTTTGATCCACACAGTCAAAGGCTTTAGCGTAATCGATGAAGCAGAATTAATTCCCTTGCTTTTTCTATGATCCAAAAGATATTGGCAATTTGATCTCTGGTTCCTCTGCTTTTTCTAAATCTAGTTTGTACATCCACAGGTTCTTGGTTCATGTACTGATGAAGCCTAGCTTGAAGGATTTTGAGCATAATCTCCTTTCTCATCAAAGGGGATTGGAATGTCAAAGTAGGAAGTCAAGAGATACTTGGAGTAACAGGCAAATTTGGCCTTGGAATGCTAAATGAAGCAGAGGAAAGGCTAACAATTTTACCAAGAGAACATACTGGTCACAGCAAACACCCTTTTCCAACAATACAGGAGATGATGCTACATATGAACATCACTAGATAGTCAATACCGAAATCAGATTGATTATATTCTTTGCTACTGAAGATGGAGAAGCTCTCTACAGTCAGCAAAAACAAGACCTGGAGCTGACTGTAGCTCAGATTATCAGTTCCTTATTGCAAAATGGAAGAAAATAGGGAAAACCACTAGGCCTTTCAGGTATGAGGCTTCCCTGATAGCTCAGTTGGTAAAGAATCTGCCTGGAATGCAGAAGACCCAAGTTCAATTCCTGGCTCGGTAAGATCCCCTAGAGAAGGGATAGGCTACCCACTCTAGTATGACCTAAATCAAATCCCTTATGATTATACAGTGGAGGTGACAAATAGATTCAAAGGATTAGATATAGTAGAGAGAGTGCCTGAAGAACTATGGACAGAGGCTTGTAACACTATACAGGCGTTGACCAAAACCACCCCCAAGAAAAAGAAATGACAGAAGGCAACATGGTTGTCTGAGGGGGGCTTACAAATAGCTGAGAAAAGAAGAGAAGCAAAAGGCAAAAGAGAGAGGGAAAAATATACCCAACTAAATGCAGAGTTATGCAATTATGACTACAGAAAAAAGATTTTTTTTAAACAATGTATGGCAACAGTATTCTCCAGAGAAAATTGGTTAAGATGAAACTCTTGAAATTCCAAAACTAGATCTTTTTGCATATATATTTGGAGAAAGCTAACTTGATAAAAAAACTACTTTCTGAATTTTGACCCCAAGAGAACAAAAATATGCCTATGAGAAAGCTTGGAGTTAACTCTTATCATGTCCTTAAAACAGAAACACAGACCACTTTGCCTGAGACTTCAGCTTTGAGTTAATTAGTAGACGTTTAAAAAGTGTTTGGGTTTACTAAACATGCATCTTGTACCCATTAAAGAGAAACTGTGCTATGAGAGGAATGTATGTTTTTAGAGGTTATGGAGTGTGTTCTTAAGTTTGCCGGTCAGAAAATATTGGTATAACAGTGCAATTACTTGTTTCTTGGTTTTGTTAAGGACTTTTACTTTTTAATATATTTTTATTTATTTATTTTTAATTGGAGGATAATTGCTTTACAATGTTGTGTTGGTTTCTGCTATACAACAATGCAACTCAGCCATGATTGTGTGTATCCCCTCCCTCTTGAACTTCCCTCCGACCTTCGTGCCCCCCTCTAAGCCATCAGAGAGCAGCAGGCAGGGCCTCTGTGCCATCCAGCAGCTGCCCACTAGCTATCTGTTTTCCCGTGATGGTGTATATGTGTCAGCGCTAATTTCTCAGTTGCCCTCCTCTCGCCTTCCTTACCCTACTATGTCCACAGGTCATTCCACAAGTCCATGTTCTATGTCTGCATCGCCATTCCTTCCCTGCAGATAGGTTCATCAGTACCATTTTTCTGGATTCCATACATATACATTAATATATAATATTTGTTTTTCTCTTTCTGACTTACTTCACTCTGTATAACAGGCTCTACGTTCATCCACCTCATTACAACGGACTCGTTTGTTCCTTTTTATGGCTGGGTAATATTCCATTGTATATAGGTACCACTTCTTCTTTATCCATTCATCTATTGATGGACATCTAGATTGCTTCCATGTCCTGGCTGTTGTAAATAGTGCTGCTATAAACATTGAGGTGCATGTGCCTTTTTGAATTGTGGTTTTCTCAGAGTACATCCTCATTAGTGGGATTCCTGTGCCATATGCTAGTTATTTTTTTATACAGTTCAAAAAAAAAAAAACCTGTACAAAAAAACCTGTACAAAAAACACCAACAACTGCCATATGACCCAGAAATCCCACTGATGCAGATATACTCTGAGAAAAAGATGGTGAGGGGCAGGGAGGCCTGGCGTGCTGCAGTCCATGGGGTTGCAAAGAGATACGACTTGGCGATGAAACAACAACATGGTGGTTTTAGCCCAACTTTGTTAAGGAGTCTCCATGGTGTTCTCCATGCTGACAGTACCAATTTTCATTCCTACCAACAATTGCAAGAGGATTCCCTTTCCTTCACATCCTCTCCAGCATTTAGTTTTTTGATGATGGCCGTTCTGATTGGTGTGAGGTGGTACCTCACTGTAGTTATGATTTGCGTTTCTCTAATAATGAGTGATGCTGAGCATCTTTTCATGTGTTTATTGGCCATCTCTGTATGTTTCTTGAGAAATGTCTGTTTAGGTCTTCTGCCCATTTTTTGATTGGGTGTTCGTTCTCTTAATATTGAACTGTATGAGATGTTTGTATATTTTGGAGGTTAATCCTTTGTCAGTTAACACTTATTAAGGTCTTTTAAAGGACAAGTATTGTGATATGTAATTAAAACTACTAGAATATAAGGGAAACATTTCAGTATGTAAAGCAAATGGGATATGTTTTGTTGACAAGAGAGGTAAAAAAGAGTGGAGATGTTTTTATTGAGGAAAAAGGAATAATTTTATCCTAGAGCTGGTTGCTTGTGTTTGGGGGAAGATAAGAAACAAAGTAATATCCAGAAAGTGATAAAAAGTCTGTGAAAGTAAAGGGAACTTTGAGGAAAAAAATTTTGTATGTTGTCAGGAGTGATTAAAATTAGATTGGATTTAATTAGGTAAATGAACTTTGTTATTAATAGTAAGCTGGTACAAGACTGGAGTTTGGTTTTATTTCTCCCTGTCAACAGAATAAAATTTTCCTGGTATATTAAGCTGCTTTTGATAACAGATTGTAAGTTTCTCTCTCTAGCTAACTCTGAGTATTTCAGACGGCCCTTAGGCATCTTGGAAGAAATATGAAAGTAACTAGGATTATTTGGTATGTTAAATTACTTGGAAAACATCTGAGAACTTTCAAGTCATACTGCTGAACTGGTTAAAAAATTTAAAAAATTTCTAATGGAAATCTATTGTTTTGCTTTGAACTATTTTTGACTCCAGTGTTCAGATGGAAAAAAATGTCTAGTGAAGTTATCACAGAATATAATGACTTATGTATCACTACTGGCTTTAAGTTTACTGCTAAAAGCACATGTACAATGCTTATGTGACGTTTGGGTGTTAAGTGATAAAGTGAATAGCCTATACAAATGTTTCCCCATCAGCATACCATTGTACTTGTTTGCTATGTCTGATTAGTTTTCCCCCAATGTGGATAACAATGTATAAACAAATAGTAAGCCTAGCACCAAGGGACATCAGTGAACCCAGAGTAGGCAACAAGCCGCTCTGGCAACACTGGAAAAATATATTATCAATGGTTTCTATGGAAAGATTTGTGTTTAAAAGGGGAAAATGATGGAAGAAATGTTCACATGGGGAAGTTGTTCTGGCATATATATGATTTAATTTGAATTTTAAGATAACAAAGATAGCCTGTTTGTGGCCTATTAAACAAACATTGTACACCTGATTTGACCATTTGGGGGGGGGGGGGACACATTCAGAGAATAGTATAAAGACACAATAAAGACACATTTTGATTA